ATAACTCTGCCTACAATATTGACAGAATTATGCCCCTTTTTAACTTAGAACTTTTGGTTAAAGTTTTTTGTAAAGTCAAATATCTCAATTATTGCTTGAGATATTCAATTGAAACTTACAATACTTATTTATAGTAACAAGGTACATCAGATTGACAAGTTGGATAACTATGCCTACAATATTGACAGAATTATGCCCCTTTGGAACTTAAAAATTTTGGTTAAAGTTTTTTTGTAAATTCAAATATCTCAATTATTGCTTGAGATATTCAATTGAAATTTAAAATACTTTTTTATAGTAACAATGTACATCAGTTTGCAAAATTGCACAACTCTGCCTGCAATATTTGCAGAATTATTTGCCCCTTTGAAACTTAGAAATTTTGGTTAAAGGTTAAAGGTCTTCAAAGATATTTACTTGAAACTTTACACATGCACTTAGGGTCATAATTGGAGGGTCATACTATCAAGCACATAGAATAGTCGAGCGTGCTGTCCTACCGACAGCTCTTGTTGTAATATCAATGACATTGTCTGATCATTGCTCACTTCCTGTTGGTTTTGGTTTAATGGCGTCCCTGATGACCCTTGAAAATTAGGTTGAGGAAAATGTTGTTGTAAAATGTTTGTCGGGCTCTGGTTGCCAAACTTGTAAGCATTCTGGTTTATAATATATGAAGGTTGCCCTGTATTCTGCATTGGCAAACACTTCGATGAATTGAAACTCGGAGAATAATTCTGCGCCATAACTGACCTCTTAGCTGGGGTGTCTTTTCCTTGAGGCGAATTTTTATCCTTCTTATTACCCATTTACGTCATTTGTCATTTCACTTGCATATATACTCGCTTTCTGATTATAATTTTATATATATCAAACTATTGTCACACCATATAAATAAAAAATTTAATCCAAATACTCCTCAGATTTGATTTTTGTGTCCATTTTTTCCACGCATGCGCAATAATTAACAATCAGACAACAATTAAAGTATACGACGATTATTTAGCAGTATAAGGGTTAAATTGGTTTGAATCATTAAGTGGTAAATGCATAATTAAGTGGTAAACAAACCTTTCAGTATCCTGGAAAACACTTGATTTATGTATCATATTGATAAGTCTTTATGCACAACTTGGCATTATTAACAATTTAAGTACATCCTTACAAACACATATACATACTTAGCCGACAGCAATTTTATAAAACTCGATGATCCGGTAACCGTTATAATCCGTTAGACGTTATTACTTAATACGAGACAGATGATAATGTAAGACGCATATCATAACAAGTAAAACAAGAGCCCGGTTTGAGCTGGGTGATGCTCCCCAAATAGGTTTTGGACACAGGAAAGTACACCTCTTGTAGTTTCAGAGTTATGTCCCTGGAAAAAGTTCAAAGTGCAATAATTCCAAAATTCGGCAAGACAGAGTTACTGTTCTTTGCACTGCACTTTTAATCAATGTGATCTATCAACCTACAAAGTTTCTTGATGATATCTCTTATGATTTCCGAGTTATGTCCCGGACAACTTCAAAAAGTAAAAATAAACAAAGGGCAATAACTCCAGAATTAGGCTAGGCAGAGTTATGATTCTTGTGCACTGCACATCTACCCATTGAGATATATCTACCTACAAAGTTTTATGTTAATATCTCTTATAGTTTTACAGCTATGTCCCGGACAAGATTTTTCTAAAAGGGGAGATAATTAAACAATGAGGCTTAACAGTTATGGTTCTTTTGCACTGCACCTCTACTCAATGAGATCTATCTACCTACAATTTTTCATCTTGATATCTCTTATAGTTTTAGAGTTATGTTCCGGACAAAGTTCAAAGTGTTAAAATTAACAAAGGGCAATAACTCCAAAATTAGGACAAAAAGAGTTATTATTCTTATGCACTGCACATCTACCCATTGAGATCTATTCACCTACAATGTTTCATCTTGATAACTCTTATAGTTTTAGAGTTATGTTCCGGACAAAGTTCAAAGTGTTAAAATTAACAATGGGCAATAACTCTAAAATTAGGACAAAAAGAGTTATTGGTCTTATGCACTGCACATCTACCCATTGAGATCTATTCACCTACAAAGTTTCATGTTGATATCTCTTATAGATTTAGAGTTATGCCCCGGACAAGATTTTTCTATAAGGGGAGATAATTCAAAAACCGGGCAAAATAGAGTTATGGTTCTTTAACACTGCACTTCCCCTCAATGCCCTCTACCACTGTATGAAGTTTCAACAAATTATCTCCAAGGATTTTCAAGTTATGCTCCGGACAAGACAACGGATGGACAGACAGACGGACGGACGGACGGAAGGACGGACGTTCTCACAGGACAGTAATTATGTGGTTACTCTATTGTTCTCTCTGTTGTTCTTTTTAGCCATACAAAATAAATAGCCACATAGAAGCATTACGGAATGAATGACATCAAAGAGAAAGAACAGTTACCTATTGTCCCTCTAGCCACATAATTACTGTCCTGTGAGTGCGGACAGACGGACGGACGGACAGACGGACAAGGCGCCGACTTTATGCTCCCCCGAAATTTTTCGGGGAGCATAAAAAACATGGAGAAATATTCTGCAGTTTTTATTTTTGCGGTGCTATAATTGATCACAGACTACGCAGAAATAAAGGCATCGCAGAAAAATAAAACACTTATACGGTATTGCAGTGAGAAAGCTTATAAAGACACATGATTGTTGTTAGAAGCACTTGGAAATAGTTACTTGATTATATCAATTTAAATTTATTCTTATATTCAGTTCTTCCCCTTAAATTTGACAAGAAGTCAAACTGTTTTTAGATAAATTTAAGACGAATTTAAAGTTTCTTCAGACCGATTATTTAAAACATTAAATTGCCATTATCCTAATTCCATGGATTTCCCTTAAGTGCGTAGTAAAAACAAACAAATTAGCCTGAACTGCCTTTTGTAATCTTCTTCAAAAGCAATATAAATTATTCTATTTTACAATAATAAATTGTGCGTTATGGGGCTAAATGGCCTTTGTATAAGATATTTAGTACTTATGGCAAATTGCCTGGGTGATGTAAATCATAATCATGGGTCAAACAAAGATGTTAGTGGCATTGATTTGGCCTTCAAATGAGACCTTCTTGACATGTACATTGTTGCCTGGTATTTACGCTTGAAATGCATTAACAGAGGTATCAAACGGGTCGAAAACACATGGAAACAACTGAATTTTACATACATTTTAATGGTTTTATGCTCCACGAGTCGAACTTAGCCCTATGCGCCTGTATATAAAGAAATATTCTACATGTAGACAACATTTTTAGAAGGCAATTCTAACCGGAAATACACCCCGGCTTCCGTTTCACATACATTAACAAAGAGCAGAACGGGGAACCACGCAAGTGTTGCGGGAGAACACTTCCTATTTAGAAATTACCTTTTACATATAGAAATTTTCTTAAAATACAGGCACATAGTTCTAGGTGCCACTCGTGGTGGATAAAACCATTTTTAAAGTATATAAAATCCAGTTGTTTGCATTTGTGTTCGACTCATTTGATCTTTTTGTTGATGCATTTCAAGCGTAAATACAAGGCTACAATGTACATGTCATGACGGTCTCTAGTCCTATAACATAAGACGTTGGAGTGTACGTAGTACTAACGGAAACGTCATATGTTAAAGGACTATGATTCCATGCGAAAATCCGACGATATTACCACCCGGTGGAAAATTTTGATACTGAGAACTAACATACCCATAATTTTCGTACTCGGGTGTTGCATACCTTGTCTACTGTATCAATATATTTTTTTTTCATTTTTTCTTTTTTTTAATATACATGTATTGATATTTCATTGCATAAATAAGAAGGTTAGACACATTTAAGGTCAAATAAATGCCACTAGCACCTTTGGGGTAAAATAGAGCCTACTGCAACTTTGAGTTACATTAGTAATTTGTTTGAGGAAATAAAAATCCTGTCACCGTAATTCACTACAATGTTATGACCTTGTTTTTTTAAAGTCTGATGTTTAACATATGGTTTTTTATCCACACCTTATATAAATATATCATAATGACAAGGAACAAGTGAGATTGAAAAATATAAGCGAATGCAGATATAAAATCTAAAACGGATATCGCAGGCGTCATATTTTTATCTGAAATAGTGCAAATGTATTAGTGGCTACTTTTGCTAAGGGAAACTGATAGTTAGTATAGAAGTCACTGGTTGCTATATAAAATCAGTGGTGTCTATGGAAATCGGATTTAAACGGTAGATTCAATCGTGACAATTAAAAGTTGATGTTTGCTATTGAAATCGCTTGCTGCTTTGTAAAAAGTCAATGTTTTCTATTGAAGTCACTGTTTGGTATGGAAATTTACAGTTTGCTTTGAAAAGCAAATGGTTGCTATGATGACACTGCTTGTTATTGCAAGCAAACGGTTGCTATGGCAGTCATCAGTTGGTATATATAGTTAATGGTTGCTAAGTTTTGCTATGGTTGCTATTTAAGCTATCGAAGTCAATGGTTGCTATTTTAGTCTATGGTTGCTTTGGAAAATCAGTGGTTGCTATGAAGTCAATGGTTGCTATGGTAAGTCAATTGTTGCAATAGAGATCACTGGTTGCTACTGAAATTCAATGGATACTAAGGAAAGTTATGGTTGCTATGGCAAGTCACTGTATATTGGGAGCGAAAGAAGTATATGGTAACAATGGTAGGCAAATAATGGCCATAGGAGTCACTGATTGCTATGAAAGTTGATTGTTTCTATGGAAAGTCACTGGTTGCTATGAAAGTCACGTGTTGCATCGAATAGTAACTGGTTGATATGGAAGTCAGTGGGTCCTATGGCAAATCAATTGTTGCAATATTGGTCACTGAGTGCTTTCAGAAGTCAGTGAATGCCATTAAGCTTTATGTCACATTATGGACTACGTTGGAACACAGACTGATCACAACTACCATACAAAACAAAGCACAACTCAGCATAAACTATTTAAATATATATTTACAAAAAATAAATGACTATTCATAAATGAAATTAAATGATGAGCAATAAATGAAGAGAGGAAAAGGGGAAAACAAAATATATTAAAGTTCCGTGTCCTGTCGAATAGCACTTTGTCACATTGTCCCGGTGGCTTAACTCAAAACAAATACACTGATGCTCGAGATGTGACCCATCTTAAGCAGAAAATCGATTCTGTACTGTCTACAGAGTGTAGATCCAAGACTGGATGTGGGGTCTCTACGTCACAATCTCCAGATGTGGCCCATTCAAAGCAGGAAGATCGATTCTGTACTGTCTACAGAATGTAGATTAAAGACTGCGTCGCTACGTCACAATATCCACTATCGTCGCAATGTTGAACACATGCGTGATACAAAATTGAAGGTGAATCCTCCGAGTAGAAGCTACAAAATATGAAACACAGTAAATATCCATGGTACACAAATATAAGGGTATAAGTATGTTCCTTTGGAATAGCCGGAGCTTTGCCGGATTCCTATAAGCATATAATGTCCATTATGGAACGCCATACACTCTCGTGTAATTAATTCAACGTTGATTATATATTGTAGCACGTTGTAAGATATAAAACTTGAAGCCAGACCGGGTGCCACCTAAATATCGACGAAATCTTTCCATGAATCGAATCCATATTATTTCGTACAAAAATAAATAATGATGATGAAGTGATATGAAAATTACTTAAAGAAATAAGAATTATATAAAAAGAACATGCACTCAAGGCGTTGATCGCCTTCCAAACATACAACAACTATCAATGATAATTAGCAGATTACAAATATTCAAGAAATGAATGAAACACTAGTCATAAATCTACAGAAGACGAAAAATTAGAGAACGAAAAATTACTGTCAAAATGCAAAATAAAATTTCTATAAAACGAATATGTAATGAAAAATTATCTGAATTACGATATTCTGAAATAACAAAAAGTTTACTAAATAAAACAACAAGAAAAGAACAATATACCTTGCGCAAGCTTAAAAATTTACACCACAAGAATAAATTTGTCTGTCATAATGACCTTGTGCGTCTTGTGAGTCCCCAAGAAGATTTAAAATCGTTCAATATATATGCATATTTACCCTAAGCAGAAAGCGTGAAACATAACTTTCACGATTTTCTTGCATTCCAGAACGCATGTATAACAAAATATACAGGCCCGTAATATCAAATTTATAGACCATAAATAAATTTGCACTTTATCACAAAAATCTAACTTTCTTATTACTGGACAGAATTTTATGAAAAATATGTCAAAATGCTTGGAATGATACCAAGAAATTTAAGCAATAAATAAAAATACTGAAATAATTTATTTCACTCGATAACTCTGAATTTACAAAAAGATGATTAAATAATTTACATTGGATTTAGTATAAAATTGAGGTTCGGCATGAAAATAAAATACTACAAAATCAAAGTACTGAAAGCACTTCTGAGCATTGACGAAATGGTTTACATTTCGACACTGTACTAAATGCTATGAAAAGTCAATTGTTGTTATGAAACGGAAATGGTTGCTATGACAAGGCATTGTGTGTTATATAAGTCTATTTTGTAATGGAAAGTTTATGGTATCTATATGAGTCATTAATAATTATTGCTATGGAATGTCACTGATTGCCTTAAAAAAACATTTGTTGCTAAGGAAGTCATTGGTTTATATGGCAAGTCATTGGGTGTTACATTGGTCTATGGTTGCCATGAAAAGTCACTGGTTGACATCACATAGCACTGGTTGCTATGAAAATTCACTTGTTGCTAACCAAAGCCATGGTTGCCATGGAAAGTCAATGGTTTCTATGTAAGTCAATAGTTGCTATGGGAAGTAAAAGGTAGCTATAGAATTAAATGGTTGATATAAAATGTCAGTGGTTGCTATGTCATTCAGGGGTTGCTATGGATGTTAGTGGTTACTATAGAAATCATCGGTTGCTTTTTGTAAAGTATGGTTTCAATGGAAAGTCAATGATTGCTATTGTAGTCAATGTTTACTATCAAAAGTCACTGGTTGAGAATTTACATGTAATCTATGTTTCCCCGGGGTCGGGGGAATTTTGACGCCATAGCTATAATTTGATTTTTTTTACATCCACCAGTCTTTGTTTCTTGTTAAATATTGTAAGATATATTGCTTAAAGTTTTCAAGAATAACATTTTTGGAGTATTTACTATAGAAAGAGATACAAAAAAAAACTTTTTTTTTTTTGCTTTTATTATATATATCAAAATTAGCCCCGCCAAATGGGTCAATAATTGTCTTTATTTTCCTACTTATGTAAATAATTGTCCCAATTTGGCGGGGATTATTTTGACCCCAAAGCTTCAATTTGAATAATGTTAATAGATGTTCACTAGAAAACGTTTCATACTAAATATCTGCGCTCCAGCCCTTGTTGTTTTGAATAAAATAAAATGTTGTTTGTTTTTACTTTATGCACATCAGAAAAATACATTTTACTCCCGGTTAATTTTGTCACCTATGTTATAATTTGAGGAGTCTTTGTAGTGGTCCTCCAGATAATGTCTTTTGAAAATATTTATGCTCTAGGTCTTATCGGTATTTTTCTTATAATTCCTTTAGGTTGCTATGACAACCTGATTTATAGACGGAATCCATATAACCCTGGAAATATGGTTGAAATTTCACCAGTGGTTTTTAACAATTAAGATGTTTTAAGTTCCCTATATTATGTATATAACACACCCACCAACACACACACGCGCACGCACACACACACACACACACATACTCGTGCACGAACGCATGCAGACACACACAAACACAAGGGTGAATCGCTAATTTTGCAATCGCATTGCAGACGTATCAAAGTGAAACTGATAAATATAAATGGACTATAGACTGTTTGAATATGTTTTTTTTTAATTATTCTGCAATTCCATCATCTTTGAGAAAGCTTCAATAATCGTTACTAAATAATGTAAAATTGCACCGAAAATGTCAACCAAAAAAAACAGTTTTTTTTTCTCTTGGAGTAGAAAATTCCTCCATACCAATATAATTGTTTTTTCATGAAGGTATAAAATTTATCTCAGCACTAACTTCATTTGATGGGTTTTATTTAGATATATATGGATATTGTATTTAAGATATCCAGACTTAATACATTTTTTTTTTGAGAATTACCGAATTAAACACAAATATTTTGATTATTTACAACAATATTTTTGAGAATTACCGAACTAAAGACAAATATTTTGATTATTTACAACACTATTTTTGAGAAATACCGAACTAAAGACAAATATTTTGATTATTTACAACAATATTTTTGAGAATTACCGAACTAAACACAAATATTTTGATTATTTACAACAATAATTTTGAGAATTACCGAACTAAAGACAAATATTTTGATTATTTACAACAATATTTTTGAGAATTACCGAACTAAAGACAAATATTTTGATTATTTATTATGCTGTAGGTGAATCAAAGACTCAAGATAGAAGATGCACGTCAACAGAAACAGTTAGAATATGAACAAGCTAAATCAGGTATGTTATTTTCTCCTTGCCAAAGTCAAACTGGATATTAGAAATGGCCTCGGACACAATTGTTAGAATACACAGAACGGATACGTTTTTCGGTCTAACCTACGCTAAGAAACTACACATGTAAACCAATACTAATTTAATGCTAGGAGTGGAAGACTATATTTATACAAATATATCGAGTAAACGTCCGTCATTCTTCCGGTAAGGACCTCCAACATATTAGTAAGAATACACCAAACTGATACGGTATTTCGGCCTGACCGACACTAAGAAACTTAACATGTAAACAAATAGTAATTTATTGATAGGCGTTGAAGACTAGTTTAACTATCAAATACATCGAGCAAAAGTCCACCTAAGTTAAGTATATTTACAGACATAATAGGTAACAGAACATTATTTATATACTTTTATTATACTTATTATTATGTTTGTGGAAACCGAAAGTACAAATTGTTAACATGTTGCCATTTATTCGAATATAGCAATAAGTGTACATCTGTGCATATTTTGAAATTGACTATGATTGTCCGACATAATTATATTCAATCAAAATTTACCGAAATAGACTTCGGTTTATATAAGGAATAGTTATTTCAGTTCGATTGTGTATGAAGCTACACTATCGAATCCGTTCCTGGAACCAACAAGTACTTAGTAATGAAGGAAACAACATTTTGCTCCCGACGGGGTTTGAGCCTATGCGGCTAGCGATCATTTCAAGTCCGACGTGTTAATCACTCGCCCATGCCATCGCATGAAAACATACTTTATTTCCCTTTGAATGACACATATATACATTCGTTTCACATTTTCAAAGATAATACCCTCTGTCTTCATTTATATTTAAAACCACGTGGTTATCAGTATTAAGTCCAAGGTTATTATAGTATCATAAAGGAGTAGAACTGAACGACATGCGCTTACTGTAGCAATTATAAGGTTCCTTATAGATTACTTGTATTGTGTTATATCTATGTATTTATAGGTGTATTAGTTTAATCTCGGGAAAGGGCTGAACTACAAGCTAATGGACTTACTGTGTCATAATAATGCATATCTCAGTCAATGTCCCATTAAAGTCCCAGTCTCACGGGGCCGTATCGAAAACCTGAGTGAATGAAGTATGCACACTGCTATAGAATACCTTATTTACTGATTGTTCAAACCTAGTATTATGGCGAAAAAAATACATATTCTCACGCTCGTCCCGGGTCGGCTTTTATTTGTTTGGGTCGTCAGCCCAAACAAATAATGGTAGCGAAATTTCAGAGTCTGATGCTGTTAATTGCAAATGCCGAAAGTAGGCCGCTTTTTTGAAGCGGTTACTTCCCTTTATATGTACACTAACGCCGAAAAAATTCAGGGGAGATCACTGCGTAAAGATGGTCAAATGACAGGCGCATTAATTTTCAAGCAAAATAATTCCCGAAGGTCGAAAATTTCTAATATTGTTTTATCCTTTATAGATATACATGCTTATAATAAGCTCCATGATTATTAACATCTGTGTTAAACAACAGTTAGCGTCGAAATAATAAGGGTTACAAACCCTTATTCAGAATATTATGGTTTTCTTCAGGCCTTTTACATATAACTTCACCGTGGCCGAGGGGTCTGGAGTTCAAATCCAGGAAGGCAACTCTTTTTTTCAAATTGTTTAGATCAAATAAACATTGAATTGAATATCAGTGTTGCAATTAGACTTAAAGCCAATTAACTACAATTAAAACGCTGGAAAGCACTGGTGGCACTATACAAAATATGATAAACAAGATCATCAAGGAAAGGCGGCGTTCAAGGAACACAGCCCCCAAACAAACAAATAAGTTTATAATCTCACAACCTTCACCCAAACAAATTCAGCGCTTTCTGTGCTTTGATTTTTCCTCACAGGTATGTAGCCTGACATAGATTATTGTAAATATATTGTAAAGGACGTGAGCCTCACTTTAAGACGTTGGGGGTATCAATGATATTCAGACACTTTACATATAGCAATCGGTTCATGTATTTAACTGGGGTGATGGCGATAGAGAAATTTGTATTTTATTAATTGATATTGCTTATTGCTTATAACAATTATACCGATTCTTGACTAGTGAAAGAGGACACCTGAGTAAAGGCACGGGCGTCCCGTTACCTAGATGAATAGCTTCCTCGCGTCGATAAGATTCGTACCTTCAGCAAGTGGTTAAGAGTCACCTTATTCACTAGGGCTTTAATTGTTGACAAAGTGGTCAGACTTTACAAAATCTATTGATTGGAAAAAATGATGTTTTTTCTGCTTTTTACAGATCAGCTGAAAAGAAGTTTAAGAGAAAATGACGCGTGGCAGGAACAAATATAGCTGAACTATAATGTATTTTTCCTTTTTTTAATATAAATAATGCTGCTCAAGTATTTTAAGATGTTTTAACTAACATAATACATATTAACTACAATTCATTTAGTTTCATATTGGGAGAATTTAGGAATGCTTAACAAAAACACAACAAGAACACAACAGCAAAAAAAAAGAAATAATATAATAAAGAGGAAATTTCAAAGTAAAATAGCGATCGTTTGACAAAAGAAGGGGTATTAGATCAAAATGCCCAATTAAAATATTAAACTGTGTTTTTGGCGCGGTATCTTGCTCATTTATTGAAGAATTACAAAATAATTATGGTTATGCAAATAATGGTGTGTCGCACACAAAACCGTTCAAAGGTCAAGGACTCACCGTGGGGAGTGGGGAGGGGGTGGGGGTTAGCGCAAAACCAGTGCCCGGGCGTAACATCCACATGCGTGGAGGGATTTTAATATAACTCAGGACAAATGTTCTCCAAAGTGAGGAGGAGTCTCGCGCTTAAAATTCAGATGTATGTAACAAAGGTCAAGGTCACACCTAGGGGTCAAATGTCAAATAAAGATATTTAGATTTGTTTGTTTGCGCCTTATCTTTCGTATGCTTTGAAGTTTAATGCTTTGTGGTCAGAGGATTTTAAGTAAAGTCCTCTTGTGGTGAGGTCGACTTAGTCGCCACTTTTCACTTTTTGGGTTCGGTTTATCTGCGTCAATCGGTTTCTGCGTCCGTCTATATTTATCTTGTCTATATCTTGCTCATTCTTTGAAGGACGCAAAACCGCTGCTAAAAGATAAAGGTCAAACTTGGGAGGTCAAACTTAATCCTGTGTCCGGAGCGTAACTTCTACATGCCTTGAGGGGTTCTGATATTATTTTTGACAAATGTTCTCCATAGATAGGCAGAATGTCGCGCGAAATATTCAGGTGCCTTTGGCAAAAGTCAATGTCTTACTTTAGGATCAAAGGTTAAATAACAATTTAAAACATTCATCTGTGAGTATAACTATATATCTGAAGATCTTGGGCTTATATGTTCACGTTTGAAACACGAGCAGGTTCGACTTTCTACCCTTGGGCATGTCTTGTTTTGCAAACAAAACAAATATATCAAAACAAAACAAAGGATGTTGCTTGACGTCAATAAGTACAGTCTTCTGTGTAATCTATAAGGTGATCAGTCCCTATAAAATATATCTACGTATTGGAAAGCTTTCTTGAAAGGTTTTTATAACCAAACGTACTTTATCGGTCCTACATTTCAGCAAAAGGCTTAAAGACCAATTAAGACTGAAAGAACTTCCTTTAACGCCCTTCATAGTTTCCAAAAGGATACCCCTTGGCCTTATACCTTAATGGTATTTTTTTACATGTACATCACTAAAAGTTATCTTGTGTTTTGTATGGAAATACCATAGTTTTACATTTGCTATCTTTATCACATATTAGTTCATATTCAGTGTATTCAGTGCTATTTTCATCAGGCGATAAACACACAAATATTCTTAATCCATGATTACAACAGGAGGAAATTCATTTCTGAGGTATAATGTATCTTTAAAGGAAATATGTACAATTCCTATTCCAAAGTTACTGACCGCCTATTGTTGTAAAAGCGATACTATGAAAACTGATCAGTCGCAATTTCTTCAGGAAGGGGGTGTAGTCGTGTCTCTTTTTTTAGAATCAAATTTGTTATGAATTAATATTTGCTGAAAGTGTTCTGCAGTTGCATACAGTTCGATAATTTTAAATTACATTGCAACCTCCCTACAACAGCCAGCAGCCGGACAGTCCAAAATTGGCTGTTGTAGAGAGATAGCTGTTGCTCGACAGATGAAACATTTCTTACTTTTAATGTTATTGAATTGTGTAGGATTGTTGGGACATAACACATTTGGTATACCGGCCATTTTCTAACCGGTTATCATCTGTATGTTGTGGTTCATTCCTTAAAAAATGTTGATGATGACAGACGAACATAGTTTGAACATAGCCCATATTGACGTCATTTAGGGTTGGTCTCATAGCGTTAAGTGTTCTAGGTAATTATAAAACTATGATTATTCTTATTTATTTACAGAATATTTTCTAACTGTAACCATTAATTTTAAATGAAAAATGAGAAGAAAGTTTGTGTCAGAAAGGCAATTTTACTAACAAACCACTGTTTAAATTAATCGCCAGTTAAAACCTATTTGAAGTGAAATAACATGCAGTAACCTCTTTATAAATGAAAGTTTTGCTGAAAACCCAGTATCTCCTAAATGGCAGTGAATGGGGTTTTAGAGAATAAATATATTTATTACATGCTTTTCGGTGGTTTATAGAAATATATCAGTGAAATAAAACTGGTAATTTCACTGTTTGAAACAGTGAAATTACCACTTTGATAATTTCACTGTTTGAATTTAAGCCCCTTACGTTGTTTCAGTAAAATACCAGCATGCATAGTACTGGAAACAACTAAATGATGTCACATCGTATTATTATTTGGTGCGCTTTTAATTTAGCATTAAGTTAAAACGTCTTTTTAAACGTTTCTTTGCATATAATAAAAAGAAAATTTGTTTACTTAATTGCAAGATCGAAACATATTTCACCTCGTGAACACCAAAAGTTTATATTTTACTTGTGACTGCACAACTCGTGAAATATACCTTTTGGTGCTCACTCGGTGAAATATATAGAGATCTTACACTGACCCAAACAAATATCCTCTAAAAAATTGACAAAATATGAAACGAACAATGTAAACAGCTGATTTAGGTAAATTGTCAAATTCTATTCTAAATGTTAAGGAAAATAACTGAAATTACAGTCATCACTTTAACTTTTTTTTTCGTTTCTTTGTTTTGAATTTTTCATTCATTATTCTGTAAATGTCCTCAAAATGGATACATTAGGCAGTCACAGGAACAAAAAGTTTCTCCTTATACAGAATACAATGGTGGTTTCCTAACTTTACCCACGTGAGTCAGGTTAGAGTGTTAAGATTTCACAATAGTTGTCACAGTAAACTCTGGAATCATTTAAGAATATGTCAAATGAATGACTTAGACTTGTTTCAATCATACAATATCCACAACATCTGTTATTGTAACTTCCAAGGTTTGTTAAAGTCACATGACTTGTTTTAAAACTACTTGGTGTTTCTGTTGGCGTCCAAATGTTGTGTAACATATATAGATATATTTTCTCTTCAAACCAAAAATATATAGAATTTATACAGAAATTCATGCTGGGACTTAAAAAATGTCATTTTAGAGTGATTTGAGTACGTAAGATCATTTTAACATTTTGTCATTAATTTGCCTGAGTATCCCTTTTAACAGACTAATCCATCTTTTAAATCCATCATTTATTTATAAGGGAAAATTTCCAAATGTTGATGTACTGAATGGCGAACAGTGCAGCCCATGAAGAAACAGCACGGATGGCATGCAATACATTGTATTGGTAAAATATGTTTCCGCAAGCAGTTTAGCTGCAATAGCAACAGGCGTGCCAGTAAACTCACAAACGCATTTCCACAACAAAATCAAACATTTTTTGCATTTCATTAAAAAAAAGAAGCAACTTCTTTTCTTTCAGTTTATTAACTGTTACATTTTAGTTACCCATAGTGATTGTCCCTGAAGATATGTTACATTTTATGAAGGTAGAGCAAAGATTATAACATCAACTGCCCAATTCAATGGTCGACTCTAATCCTTCAACATGTCTGGTGTAGTGCACCAACACGTGACCCGCACCGTTCATAATGTTTCAACCAAAAGACCATTACTATAGTAAGTAAAGGAGCTGATATGTGAACCTGAGACCCATTGATAAGCAGTACAGAACGTTACCAATTGACCACAGATTTATTCTACAATAAGTTGAATGTTGAGGCAGAATATGAAACAGGTTACTGCAGAGTTTTACAACAAAACCTGAATGAAGTCCCATCTCACCATTATCAAAGTTTCCTCAACAATGAAAATGTAAGCTCATCCTATTGTTACAATGAAAATGACTTGATTAAACAGTAATAAACATTAACACCAAATTTGTGTTGTTTATATCTACATTATAGAAAAAATTCAAATGTTAATTCAACATATCTATTAAAATTGGGAAAATGATTACAATTTACATAGATAAAAACAGAATCCCTATAAAAAGCCCAACACTGCAAAAATGAAAATGTTGCCGGCTAGGTTTAATGGAGCCTGTTCATGGATGGTACTGGAATGTTTAAGTTACTGTCCACGCCCCCTAGCACTGACTTAAGCAGAATTCAACATTAAAACACAAAATGGTGGAAGTTTTGAATTTAGAAACATTCCCAGATGTGTTCATATAAAACAACTCTGTTTCTGCTTAAAATACATAACAAAGAACAAAAGCATACTCTTACTTTAACATACTGTGTGTAATGGTGTTAACTGTATATAATTATACTAACATTGTTGTTGTTTTTCCAGCACCATTATGACCGAGGAACGCAGTGATCTGATTCTCATACAACTTCATAGACAGACTGTCTAATGCTGGTTTATCTCCCTTTCTGTATACCTAGCAAATTAAAATAATTACATCATGTACATTATACATATTTATCAATATTCATTATCAAACTATAAAGGGAGATAAAAGATAATTTAGCAAAAAATGCCCTTCAGAATTATCTGCCCATTCCAAATAATTTAGTGAACATGTATCAAAAAAAATCTAAGTTATAAAAGGGACATAAATTTGTACATTATAACTTTAGTATTATCTGTCCTTGTGTATCTCATGATGATAATGTACAGTAAAAACCCTCAATTAAGACCACCAACGGGACTGGACCAAAGTGGTCTTAATTGTTGGGCAGTCTTAATTGCAGGGTGGTCTTAATTGTGGATATTCTTATCAGTGCTTACACATGTTATGACCACAGCCTATTTTGTTATCACTTCAATATATACATTATAAATAAACATTAGAAT